TGAATATAAGTTTTTAAATAATATATCATAACAAATGGTAGCACACGCAGTTTTATGTTACTGGGAAAGTCAAACAACTCGTTGCTAGATATTTTGAAATGTGACAATGTAATCTATGGGTGCAAAAGTGTTATTTTTACAAAAGATCTTTACCGACTTCGGAATTACAACTACAATAGGCTGTTAAAGCCGTTTTACTAAGCAACGCACCTAATGAGTCTATAATTCAATACCACAGAACACTTCAGTAATTTGACCCACTCGTCTAGTGTAGCTAGCACACTTTCCACAACTTGCCAGTGCTCCCATCAACTCATTCAGTAGATTAAAATCACAACTGCCTCCTATCTCATTTACGCACACTTGTCAGGGCGGATCTTGTACTGTTACCGCTTGCGTACTACAGATATTTAGGCCGCCCCTATCAATGCTGATTCATAACCTAATCTGACCCGACGAGAGCTCACTGGTATGTTTTATCACAGTTTCATATAGTTTGTAGGAATAAAAAAGTTCACAAAAATATTCGATATATATATGTATGTATATCGAATATATATATTTTAATTTTATTCTAATCAAACCTCCTCGTAGATAATAGGCGCTTTTGTTCAGAGTGATATTTTAGCGCCGCCATAAAATGGAATCTGCAAATTAAAATGAAATTAATTTAAAGAAACTTTTCTTATTTAGTATATAAATACAATGTATACGTATGTATATATATGTTATGGACAAAGTGATTAATACAGCATTATGAATAATGACCAACAAAATCGGGCATTGTAATAAATTTCAATAATTTATCAAATTGACCGGTCATTATGAATACTGCTACCACCTAGTCGGGCAAAGTGATAATAATACGTTGAGGAGTGATTATCCGACATACGTTAGCCAATCAAAACTTACATCTTACTTGCGCATGCGTATTGCATTTAGTACCGAATTTTAAATTTATGTGATCAGTAGTTAATCTTTCTTCTTTGATAAAAGTAACGATCATGGAGGAATCATTAAGTGATGTGAATAATCGCTTCAACAACCGATTAAACGAGCTAATAGCAGAAAAAGGTGAGAACATTCAAATTTTTACAAAATCAGCATATTTGTCAATGATACAAAAAGTGAAAGAGTCAAAAATGGAAGTTACTTCTAAGTTACAGGAAGAATATTAGGGTATGTTTACGTAGATATGACGTTGTATCTATCGGAAATTGAGAAAAATTAATTATGCCTGTAAAAGAAGGTAATGCGATTAAATATTACGTTCACACGGAAGAAATATTTCAGATATTGCACGATGCCCATATTGCTATTAGACATGGCGGTAGAAACCGTATGGAAAAAGAATTAAGTACGAAATATAAAAATATTACAAGGGAGATGATTATAATTTATTTGAACTTGTGTGAAATCTGTCAGGAAAAAAAAAATGTTCCTAAGAAAGACTTGGTAGTTAAACCAATTTTATGTAATAAAATGAACTCGAGATATCAGGTCGATCTTATAGATATGCAGTCGTAAGTTGATGAGGAATATAAATTCATACTCATGTACCAAGATCATTTAACTAAATTCGTTTAACTACGACCATTAAAAACAAAAAGAGCTGAATAAGTAGCATATGTTCTTTTAGACATCTTTACAATTTTCGGTGCACCGAGTATTCTACAAAGCGATAACGGCAGAGAATTCACCAATAATGTCATCAAAGAAATGTGTAATATGTGGCCCGAGTTAAAAATGGTGCATGGAAAGCCCAGGCACTCACAAGTCACAAAGTCATTCAGTAGAAAGATGTAATCAAGACGTAGAAAATTATTATATTCCAAAGTATTATATTCCAAGTATTATATTCTAGGAACCAATTTACTGTTTGTAAAAAGAAGTTCATTTCTGTTGGAGATGTACCAGATGCAGAAATTTCGCTTAGATAATTTGCAAGAATGTCATCAATTTCTAGAGGATAAGGCTATACTCGATGCTGCTGAAAATTGGTTGCAAATCTAATAGATGCAAATGCTACAAAGAAAAAAAATGATGTATAGTAGAGCATCGATTATCCGACTCAATTGGGGACTCGGGTTGGTCGGATAACCGAAAAGAATGAAAAAAATACAATAATATTAAATACATCGCTATTAACCTACTTCGCGTTGAATTTTCATCGATGTTAAGCCTAACAAAATTTTTAAAAAATAATAATTGTCGCTATTTTATCGTTAAAAATTATTTTAAATTATTTTATTGCTCACAAAACAAACAACCACTCATAATTAGAAAATTAAGTCTCCTTTAAATACTGGCCTCCCTTTCATGGTCGAGCCAGTGTTGCCAGCCAAAACACGCAAAAATTTAACAAAAATAATATTAAAGTAACCATGACATAGCCAAATATTGTAGCGCCACATTACTAGCGGACATTTGAAATTTGCCGACTAGAACGGTCAGTTAACCGATGTGACGGTTAATCGGGGGTCGGATAATCGATGCTCTACTGTAATTCCAAATGTCATGAAAATCTTAATTGCTCAAATAAATAAACTAAAAACCGTTTATTTTTTTATATAATTTATACAAAAAATTGTTAATAATACTTTTCGTTAATATTAGTTTAATTAATATAGTTAATAGTACTTTGAAATAATTCACAAAAAATAAATATTTCTAAATGAAATAAGTGGAGTTTTTTTAATCAAATTTAAAATTCGGTACTGAACACGATATGCACATGCAACTCAGAGTGCTGATTGGCTAGCGTATATCGGATGATCACTCCTCAATTTATTATTATTACTTTGCGTGACTAGATGATAGCAGTACAGTATTCATAATGTCTGGTCAATTTGATAAATTAATCAATATTTATCACACTGTGCACCCTATTTGGTCATTATGAATAATGCCTGATTAATCACTTTGTCCATAACATACATATATTCTGAGTAGATCTTGTATAACAATGGTTACAATGATGAGTAAACTTTTTGTTGAAAGAAAATATAATGCTGAAACATTTCACAAAGAAGATATCAAATAACCAATAAGATATCAATAATGTCCTGTTGTGGCTGTCTGCCATGTTTGTTTTGTATAATTGTATATATAATAGGAACTTATTTCTTCTTTCCTGTAATTCTTCTTCTTTCTGTCTTTAACCCTTTCCTGTCACATGACAGGAGTTTTACTGTTTGTGGGTTCTGATTGGGCCAGTGTAAAAGGGGAAGAAAGGGGTCCTGCCCAAAGGGGACCTGAGGAAACCAGGAGTGGATGAGAGTCACTTTTGGGGTTCTCCACTGACGAGATAGGTCAGGTGAGAGGGACCAATAGACAAGCTATGAGGAGTCAGGCCTAGGAAGATAAAAGGAGAGAGAGGGTCAGTATAGACCACATGCGGACGGTGACTCAGAACTAAGTAAGCAAGTCTTTCTGTACATACTCAAGTACCTGCCTCGGCACATATTTAATGGTAACTGTTTGTTAATACCCTGGATATCAATGGATTGGATATTCATTGTCCATGAAGCAACCATAGTCAACATTACCCCAATATCAGGACTCACCGATCTAAGCTTTCTTTTCTCTTCTTAGTTGTAAATAGTAATAGTATTAGGTTTAAGTTAAATTGTCATTGTCTTAGGTTAAAGCTGAATTGTATATAAATCAATTGTCACAGGAAGTTTAATCGAGAGCAGGGATTTCACTGTTTTATTGTCATATGTTTCTCATCATTTTCACACTGGTTTTAAATAAAGAATCTATCAGAAGACTTTAAATGTTTACTATGTTGGAAAATTTTAATCTTAGTAAATAAATAATTTCATTTACAATAATCCAAAAAGTTATTGAGCTTGGATTGTAAAGCTGACTTAGTCAGCAAAAATTTATATCATAATGAGCACATAACAAACTATGAAAAGAGATATCTTTTATAGAAATATCAGAATAAGTATCAGAAAAGCAATCAACTAAATCATTAATATAACAATTAAACAAATAGGGACTCAAGGGATCCCCTGAGTCCCTTAATACTTATAAAATGACCATTATTAAAAGAATCTTCAATATAACACTTATTATGAGAGAATAATAGGCTAAGAACTGTAATAAAACAAAGGGATATTCCAAAATATGAAAGTTTTTTCCAAAGTAAGCTGGGATCTATCTAATTGAAAGCCTTTGTCAAATCAATTAGAGCCACATAACTTTTGCCGCTTCTGCCTGAGAACTAATTCTACAATACAATTTTAAAAAAAAATATATATATATTATATCTTGTTCCCCTGCCAGAAACAAAGTCACATTGAAAATTCAAATTTAATTTTCTTTTATGTATCCACAAATTAAGCCATTTCATCAATCATTGAAAATAACTTTCTAATTATCAATATATGTAATAGAGCTATTGGATAATAGTTGGAAGGATCCAAAACACTGCCTGTTTTGTAAATTGATTTCAACACAATTGTTTTCTACTTGTATGAGAACTTTATTATGTAATATATATATATATATAGTTTTGAGAGGCACACTCACACTTTTTTATCTATATATTTTTAAATCCTACACTTGTCAAGCTTGATCTTGTAACAGAATCTTTCAGAATCTACAAAATTATATAAAATGAAGCTAGGAGTAACTTGAAAGGAATAANTGTGGACTGCAAATAGAAAGAAATTAATAAGATGAACGTGTTTAAACATTGGGAAATAAAATTGCAAATATAATGCATCTAAACTGTCATAATAGAATACTTTGCGATGCTTTGAAATTCTTCATAAGTTCTTGACATTGTATAAATTTTTTCATCCACTTCCTTTCTATTGCAGAAAGAATAAGCTGTAGATGTGTGCAAGAAGGCCTGAAATTATGTTATATATATATATATATATATAATTTAGTTTAACGAAATTAAAAGTTAGTGTTTAATAATAATTGTATTTTTCACAAAAATTTATTACTATTACTGATTTTATTAAGGAAAATAATTAGCAAGGTGTCCTCTATTGGTGAAAATACGAAACTGGTCAGTGACGCATTATCTTCTGGTCAATTAATGGTGGTATATAACGTGTAGTGAGTTGTATTTAGAGAAAATATTGTCCGGCAGGGCGAGCTGACAAATCGATTAAGTTCCCGGATAATCTGATACCACCTTTGCCATTATGGCGAGGATGTCACCGATGTTATATTTAGTCCGGACGGAATAACGATAGTTTTACTTGTTAACATCATGTCTTCTCAACGTCCGAGTTCGTCCAGTGGCGACGTTCATCATTTCCAATACGTTGGTTCCTATCGTTTAGAGAAAACATTAGGAAAGGGACAAACAGGTAAGATTCGTTAATATAACCAGACGCGTGCGTTACTATAGGGTTTACCGCCAATCGGCGGCATCTTCGGTGATGTAATGGTTTCATCACGTTGCGTTATGACGTCATGAGTTGGAATACTTTTCATGTTTTAAATTTTCAATTAGAACTTACATTCAATTTTGTGTTTAATTTGATAATTATGAATTGATTAAATTCGCAATTTTATTCAAATTTAATTATCGATTCGTTCTTTTCTTCTTCTAATTTAATATGTAATATTTTGTTTTAAAATCAAGTTTCTTTTAAATGAAACATTTCAAATATTTTCACTTTAAAATGTATAAATAAATATTCATTATTTATAATTAAATAACAAGAATTGTTTTAGTAAGAGAGTATTATATGTTAATATTGTGTAAATCACAGTTCTTAATTTGATTAGTATCAAATTGTTGGATTTGTATTGATATTACAATAGACTCTTTAATGGCCACTAAATGGAAAGAAGCATTATCTTTTTCTCCATTTTCATAACCAAAAAAATATGTTAGAATATTGTTGACCGGGATTCTTATTCTTAATTTACATCAGATACGTCATTACTGTACAGTGCATAACAATATATTTTCTATATTTTATCCAACAGTGATTGATAACTGAACATAAAATTGTTCTCTTATTAACAGTAAATCTTTATCTTCTCAATATAATATATAAAAACAGGGAACAATAGTAGAGAAATTTGAGTATGATATACAGATTTTTCATAGAATATTTTTTATATATCTGTATGTAAATAGTCTGTCAATACTGTTATGAAAATGTCTTTTAAAATAAATAAACTAAAAAACTGGATAGTTGAAGTAAATGGCGATTCATTTATTTACCAACATAATGCCAAGTTTTGTGAATTTTTATGTCTTTAAATTGATAAAACTTCTAACAGTTGGGTAATAACTTATGATTCTATTTTCATTTAATTAACTATTATAAATGTAAGAAACATTTAGATGACACAGTTATACTAAAGCAAAAATCTTATGTATTTTAAAATGTTTTAGAATAGAAGAATCTGTCTTGAAGAATAAAACGAAGAATATTTTAAATTATATATGTAAAAGTAACATTAAGCTTCATTTACATAATAAATCTGTCAGGTTTAACAGCATTAGACAAAATAATCCTTAGGGAAAAAATCATTAAATATCTTGTCACTGATCAAAATATAATGGAAGTTATTTTGCTCAATTATAAAATAAAAAAGTAATAGCTAGCTATCATCTATAAATATTAAACATTTATAAACTTAATTAAAATTTATTAGTTAAGAAAAACATTGCATGAGTGTAATTCAGTATTTTCATTACAAGTAAAATAATTGCAATAAATATAATAAAGTGATGCTACATAATAATTAATCACAACTTGTATTAAAAATTATGAAAATATAAAATAGATAAATAAATTTTTCAGGTAATTATAAATAACATTTTATATATTATTAATGTAAACTTAGTTTAAATTAATTATAAATTTATTTGAAAAATTTTTGGATGAATTAAAAAATTAATGTAAATGAAACATTTGTGTGAAATTGTTAATATATAATACGTATCTTTAAAAAATATTTTGTATTTATAAACTATGTGAGAAGTATAGCCTCTATATAAAATTAATATTTTTTAGATTAATATTTATAATTTAATTGCTATTTTATTGTACATTAAAGATTCTATAAAATTTAAAACTTTTATCGTGAATACATATTTAGTAAGAGATATATAAGATTATATAAGAAATATTTTGAAATATATACACAATCAAACCTATGGACAACGACCAGTGATAGGAACATTAAAAAGTGGCTATTGTTTGGAGGTTATTTTGTATTAATTTTTGTCTAAAAAGGAAAAACCTTGTGGAAAAAGAGCCTTTGTTTATAAGTGGGCGTTTTTGGAGGTTCGACTATATTTGTATTTTTCTAAATTGCATTAATGTTTTTAAAGTTTATTACTAAAAAAAATGTAACCTAATGTTTAGAAATATAATCAAAAGAACATTAATCATAACTCGTGATTTTTTTACATTAAAAATAAACAAAAAAAAATTTATTTTAGAGAATTAAAAAAAGAATATTGGAAAATATATTGCCCAGAAAATATAATTTCCTGATTACTGTTATTTTTTGATATTTCCAAATAAATTTATAATTTTTTCAAATGAGGTGTATCCAAGATATGATTGTAAAATCAATTAAGATAACGCTAAAGTAATATTGACAAATATACGATGATGCATGTTCTTATATAATAAATCTTAGGGAAACAATGTATATATTAAAACTTTTATTGCTAATTTATATTAATAAAGCTTTAATGGAAAATACAGCTTTTAAATTTTAGTTAAATGTGATAATGGAGTTTTGTAATACACTGATATTATTATTTAATTATTAAAAAAATGATCAAAAAGAGTAATTTACTCATTTACTAATTAACGTAACTCAACGCTTATTATCACGTAAATAATTGTGGAAAGTTGTTGTTGCTAACTTTTTCATGTTTATTTAATTTTTATACATTACTTAATTAACTTCTAACAGTTATCTTCTTAGTCATAATTTATAATAATTAATAAACATTTTAAATTACAGTATTAGGTATTTTCTATCAGTGGATTAAACAAGAACAGTGTTCTATTTCTGTGTTTAGACATTTTAAGATATCTTTGTGAAAGTATTTCTAAGGCTGTTAAAAACACTGCGAGAAGCAATTAGAAAAGATAGAAATAAGATAAAATTTTTGAGCTTGATTGAGGAAAAAGTAAATGCAATGTTCACTTTGACTGTTTGAAATTCTTAAGTTATTGGTTGAAAAAGGTAAAAAGAATAAAAAGTTAAGATATAAGTAAAAATAATTATAGTAAGCCGTATTTTAGAATTACAGCATTTTTAATTTTTAGACATGGATAAAATACAGGTATTGTTATATTTTTCGTCTATTAATGGCCTTATCGTTGCAAAACTTTAGACATCTGGATCGCTGAGGGAGGGGTTAAGGCCTCAGCCTACCGCTCTGGGGCGCCCTGATCGAATCCTGGTGATCCCAGGAATTTTTTCGTGCGTGTTCTGTCCCGGATATTTTGGATCCGACCCTCACTACAGGGTCGCTCCATTGTAGACGAAACTCGCGATGGATATGGTTCATTAAAAAGGCATTAGTGCTTACGAGTCGGAAAGAGACAAATATTTTATTATTTTTAGTTAATAATAATTTCGATATATAAAATTAGTTAATAAAAAATTAAATAACTGTATTTATTTATTAAATTATTGCTGTAGAAAAAATATTATAATCGAAATAAAATAACAGTACTGTATATATTTGATTAACATAGGGATTCTATTAATCAAACTAAGATTTTATAGTATTTTTATTACAAAATTCAAAAATATTAAATTCGAAAATTAAATTAGTTTTGTTCATGAAATTTATAACATGTATGCCTATCATTTTATTTCTTGTGTAAATTTACATCACATTCAAATTTATACCATAAATAATTTGTGATTATATAGCCTACATCAGATAGCTTGGAAATGAACTGAATTTTATTCAGTTCTTCCAAAATGTAGAATAAAGAAATCTAACAGTAAGTTATATAATGTAACTTGCTGTTGGACTCCTTTATTTTACGTTTTGCCGGTCGGATGAAGGTTGAAGCGTCAGCTTATCGCTGTGGGAGAGTGGAAACGAATCCGGGCTGATCGAAAACAGCAGGATTTTTGGGATAGCCTGTCCCTTTTAAGCCTTCTCTCACCTTCCGGCCGTTTGATTGTGGGCCTGATCGAACTCACGATGGGCTTGAAGAAAGCCTTCTTAGTTCCTACAAGGTATATGGTAACTTTTTTATTATGGCAAAATATTCTTGTAATAAACGGATTAATATTACTTGAAAAGGTATTGTTACGTTAAAATTATATCTTAGTTTCTAATATATATATAATGAGAAAGGAGGAAAATATAAAATTTCTTATTGATACAGTCCTATATGAATTCATCAACAAAGTAAGGTGATTTTTATCTCATTACGACATGCGTATTATTGAGTAGATTTAATATCAACGCTAATTATATTAATTAGATTTTTCTAATTGAAAATAAACGATTCTTGGCATAAATCTATATTAATTTCTCATATAGATAAATTGATTATCTACAACTTTTGAAATTCATTAACGTTAATTCAAACGAGGGTAGTCATAAGATCTTTAAATAATTGCTTGATATTAATTCTTTATCGAGTAATAAGATGATAAAAATATAATTCTCACTCACATAATCATAATAATCCTCGTTATGTTATCTAATCTTGTACGTTTGGAAAGAAATGACCTTGCTGTCATGAAACTTGACATTTCAAAAAAGTAAATTCGATATTTGTATGCTTAGGGAGTGAATCGGTGTCGTAATATGTATCTATAAAAAAATCGATTATTATAAAAATATTAAATATTCCATCGTTTTATTGTGGCAGAATGGAAACAATATATAGTGATTTTCTTAATATTTGAATTTCTGTATAAAAATTTCTGTAAAAAAACGGTCAACTTTTTAAACATTCTATTTGCATTTTATTATTAAACCATGAAATTATAAAACAAAGTAAAGGTAATTTATCCTCTTTTTGTTTTTTTGTTGCATTATTCCCTTATCTCTGGAATATTACTAGATTACCCGATTATCGATTCATTTATTTAGGTTAGACGATGTGAACTGCCCACCTCAATGATCATAAAGTTCTATTATTTGTTATATTATTTTGTTGGATTTGGACGATGTTCGATTAAATGAACGAGAGTGATTATACTCGTATTATTTATATTATTCAGGGTCTGATTTGCACATAAGATAAACAAGATGAAGCTTAAGGCCTTCGTTTTTGGGCTTAGGATCTCATATTTACATGTATCATTATTTTATGGCAAGGAAAGGCTTGCTATGTTAGGTCCACAACAA